TAAACTCACGCCGGACGCATGTGCGTGCGTGCCCAAGATCCCAAGAGGAGAATGGAGAAGGAATTGCGGCGTGACCATCCCCTCTTGGGGGGGTGATTTCTCACTTTCTATCTCTCTGTCTCTGTCTGTCTGGTGAGCACATGCGCCCTATAGCAAAAACCTCTCAAAAAAAAATAGAAAAAAAATTTGACAATGCAGAATTCAGCTATTTTTAGAGAAACTCTGAATTAATTCAGAGTGGAAGCAGTACTGTCCAATTACACATCTGACATGAACCCTCTCCCCTGGTACTGAAGCGAAAGAGTGCCGGACAGATAAGAAGACAGGTCAGAGACCATGTAGAGCAGGTGTTTGTGAGACCGTATCTTTTTTTATTCTTACAAAAAATTGAATAGTTTTTCATCAATTTGGTAGAAAGAACTTAGGGCCGGGCTTTGGTACCAAATTTCAGCTCTACCCCACATAGCAAACTCATCACTTCTGAGCTTGGTTATATCACCTATAAAACTCAAAAGAGGAAATCTTCTCCATGCGATATTCCAAGAATGTGGCATAGAGTAGATGCCATCATCTGCCTCCACACACACACACACACACACACACACACACACACTCCAATTCTATCCTTGCACTCTAAGAGATTAATTTTTTATTGCGAAGTAAAATGCTTTTACAGCTTTACAAGATTTCTCCCTTCTTCGCTCTGCTCCACCGCCCCAAAAGCACACAGGAGGCTCTTCTACAAATAGCAATTTGGTCTTCCGGACCCCGGGCCCCAGACCCTCCCCTAATAAAAGGAGGTTGCCCAGTGTGTACTGACGAGTTAATCATTGGGCGAATTATCTCCGGGTGCAGCGCGTCTCCCGCGCGGGCGCGGGTCGGTTTTACTCCTTAGCAAAGAGGGAGGGTCCCCAGAGGGTTCTCAAGAAGAAGACCTTTGCATAGCCCTAGTTGATTTTCCTGTGCTTCGTCCTCTTTTACTGCCTGCAGGGCAATCCCAGGGCCCACCGACTCCACCCACCACCCCCAAAACCGATGTACAGCCCGGCAAGGCTGACCTGAAACGAGAGGGGCGCCCCCTGCCAGAGGGGGGCAGACAGCCCCCCATCGACTTTCGCGACGTGGACATCGGAGAGTTGAGCAGCGATGTCATCTCCAACATCGAGACCTTCGACGTCAACGAATTTGACCAGTACCTGCCGCCCAATGGCCACCCGGGGGTGCCGGCCACCCACGGCCAGGTCACCTACACTGGCAGCTATGGCATCAGCAGCACCGCGGCGACCCAGGCCGGCGCGGGCCACGTCTGGATGTCCAAACAGCAGGCACCGCCACCTCCTCCGCAGCAGACCGCGCAGGCCCCGCAGGCCCCGCAGGCGCCCCCGCAGCAGCAGGCAGCGCCCCAGCAGGGCCAGGCGGCGCCCCCGCCGCAGCAGCCGGCGCACACGCTGACCACGCTGAGCAGCGAGCCAGGGCAGGCCCAGCGAACGCACATCAAGACCGAGCAGCTGAGCCCCAGCCACTACAGCGAGCAGCAGCAGCACTCGCCGCAGCAGATCGCCTACAGTCCCTTCAACCTCCCGCACTACAGCCCTTCCTACCCGCCCATCACGCGCTCGCAGTACGACTACACAGACCACCAGAACTCCGGCTCCTACTACAGCCACGCGGCCGGCCAGGGCTCCGGCCTCTACTCCACCTTCACCTACATGAACCCCGCGCAGCGGCCCATGTACACCCCAATCGCCGACACCTCGGGGGTGCCTTCCATCCCGCAGACCCACAGCCCCCAGCACTGGGAACAACCAGTCTACACACAGCTCACCAGACCTTGAGGAGACCTTAACAAAGGGCAGCCATAGAGATGGTCATCAAAACCACCGAAGAAATCAATGAACAGCCAGAATTTCCTTTGGACCTTTGTTTTTCTTCTTCCTTAAAGACATTGAAGTAGAAGGCGACTCGCATCCAGAATCCAAGACAGAAACTCTGTATCCAAATGGATCATCAACTTGTAGCGAAGCAGTGGCCAGGCCCACCGCTCCGCCAGGTGGACCAGCAGGATTGGCAGGAGCCTGGACTTGGAAACCTTCAGAGCCAGTGTGAGGTGGATGGAGACTCGTGTGACCCACTTGCTCAATCTCTCTGCCTTTTTGGACTTTGTAATTATTTTTTAGTAGTAATTAAAGAAAAAAAGTCCTCTGTGAGGAATATTCTCTATTTTAAATATTTTTAGTATGTACTGTGTATGATTCATTACCATTTTGAGGGGATTTATACATATTTTTAGATTAAAAAAAATTAAATGCTCTTATTTTTCCAACAGCTAAACTACTCTTAGTTGACAGTGTGCCCTAGCTTTCTTGCAACCAGAGTATTTTTGTACAGATGTGCTTTCTCTTACAAAAACAAACAAAAAAAAACACAAAAAAAAACACAAAAATCAAAAAAAAGTGTTGTTTTAACATAAAGAAAAACAGAGTTGTGTTTCGGGATGGGTTTGGGGGGTTAGCTTTGCTTAATTCCTCAGGCTTTCTGATTCAAGAAGGAGCTGCCTTACAAAAGAAAAGGCCTTACTTTGCAAATATGAAAGTAAGCAATAGTCTAGAGAAGCATTTGGTACGCTTTATCATATATATATATATTTTTAAACAAGAAAAAAACACCTTGAGCCTTAAAACCGTGCTGCTGGGAATTATTTGCGCTAACTTTTAGTGCATGTCTCCAGCCTTTGCTTGACACACTGCAGTCTTCAGAAGCAAAAGGCAAGCAAAGGAGACGAAATCTGTTTTGGGACTGTTTCAGCAGTCAATAAGTGCCCCAGCCACTGTCCCCTGGTTGCCTCCTGGCACCATGTGGTGTGCAGATGCTGGAGACCCCTAGCTCGGACTGTCACCTGTGCCTCTCTGAACACCAGCAGTTAACCTTCCAGACATTCCATGTGCTAAAATTATTTATTTTGTAAGGAGAGGTTTTAATTAAAAAAGAAAAAAAAAACTTCCTCTTTTTTTTTTTTTTAATTTACTTTCTTTAAAATAGGTTGTTGGAGCCTTCCTCAAAGGGTATGGTCATCTGTTGTTAAATTATGTTCTTAACTATAACCAGTTTTTTTTTTATTTATCTCTTTAATCTTTTTTGTTTATTATTAAAAACAAGTTTCTCTGGATTTCTTGTCCTAAATTTGTACAAATGCCTTTTTTGTTGGTCCTTTTTCCCTTCTTTGTTGTTTTTGTTGAAAACAAACTGGAAACTTGTTTCTCTTTTTGTGTACAAATGAGAGATTGCAAATGTAGTGTATCACTGAGTCATTTGCAGTGTTTTCTGCCACAGACCTTGGGGCTGCCTGAAGTGTGTGTGTGTGTATGTGGTGACACCAAACAGTGCAAGCATGTGTCACCAATACTCCTTGCAGGTTCTCTTGGAGAGAGCGAGGACATGGGGAGGAAACTGGCCCACCGAAAGACCTTAATTCTTAATTACTGCTGTGGCTGGAGAGTTTGAGGATTGCTTTTTAAAAAAGACAGCGAACTTTTTTTTATTTAAAAAAAGATATATTAACAGTTTTAGAAGGCAGTAGAATAAAATCTTAAAGCACTCTTATAATATGGCATCCTTCAATTTCTGTATAAAAGCAGATCTTTTTTTTAAAAAAAAAATATGACTGTAACTTAAAAAACCTGGCATTTAAATCATGTTTTGTCTTTAGGTAAGGTTTGGTTTGTGTTTGTGTTTTGTTTGTTTTGCTTATTTTTTCCCCCAAACCTTTTGTTCTGTCTGTGAAACTTACCTTTCCTTTTTCCTTTCTTTTTTTTTTGTATATTATTGTTTACAATAAATATACATTGCATTAAAAAGAAAACAGCCCTCTGGATTTATTTGATTGGTTCTGTTAAAAGAATGATTTCACAAATTCAGTCACAATAAGAGATTGTGAAATGCTGATCGCTGATGTTTTCATTTTTGTGTGTACCTTTGGCAATCCTAAAACTGACACTGAAAAGGAAGAAAAAAAAAAGCTATGTATCCCCAAAAGTCTAAGCAGAAAAATATTGAAAAGTGCCACCCCAATAGGTCCCAGAGAACTACCTATCAGTGGTTGTTCCCTCTGGAAAGTGCTTGTCGTTTTAACCACCCCATGTTTCAGGCTTAAAGCCGATTCACTTGTGGAGGTTAACGGGAATATGAAACCTGAAATCAGTAGCTTGTCAGTGGACAGAATGCCAGAGGGGGTGACTCGCCTGTCTGAATTTAACATGCAAACTTTCTTTTACTGTGAACATACACCAGAGAAATGGGGTATCCATTTATAAAGCAAAGGAAGCCAGAATAAAACAGTGTCTACTGGGAATCACAGGGAAGCTGTCATGTTAACCCATTGAACGATTCAGGTCTGCCCAGATTTCCCTAGAAATCATGGAGGGGGATTATTTTTCTGTTCCCTCCAGTTTAACTCATTCTGAGCAGATGCAAAGCCATCCTAGAAGAAGTAAGACCTAATCTTGTTTTCCTTGGCCCTAGTTAGATGGGGAGTTTCCAGGTTCAGAGAACCATTCAGGTCATTTTTCATTAAACAGATGAAATCACTCCTTCCCTCCCACCCTCACATGGACACACCCCTTGCCCCCCCCCCCCCAGCTGATTAGGGAAGTGTCTTTGAGGAGGCAAGTCATTTCTACCTCCTCAGGCTGGTTTCACTACTGGGCCTGTGTCTCTGACAGTCCTAACAAGCATCCAACCTCTCTGGAACTGTGTCACACTGCCTGTTTCTTTATATCAGGTTCCTGGCTTGCATCCCATGCCAGGATCATGGCAACTAGGAAAATGGTTGTTATCAAATCGAGGCAACATTCGCACTGGGCCTCCTTTGCAAATTCTTTCAACAAACATTGATTGAGGGCCTGCCATCTGCGGAGAACTGTGCAAATTCCTCCTTACCCCTCCAGACAGATGTCAGATTCTGCCCCATTTGTAAGATAGCCTCCCTTCCACTGAGACCCAGCATGTCTCTTCCATTCTTACAAAATCTGTTTATTCGTTTTTTGCCTCTTGCCAACTCTCACAACACCCTTTTTAAAAGTCTCTGAGGTGTTCACTAATTCTCATCTACCTTATTCACCCTAATCCATTTATCTATTAAAATCAAGGAACACCCGCCTACTGTGACCACCCCCCTCTTCCCTACCAAGTTCATACTGTTGGCTAGACTGTTCTCTCCTCCAGAAATATTCTCTTTTCCTCAGCGTGTGACCTTTGGCAGACTTACTGAGAGCCGGAATGTTCTTTTCAGACACAAACTTGTTAGGTGATCGGTGACCTCTTGCCTTGTTTTCCAGTGCCTCAGTTTCCCCTTTTGCTGAGACTATAATTCATCCTACATGTATCATGGTGGCTATTAAAGCAGATTTTTAGCTAGGAACAGTGTGGGCACTGGCTCCCTCTGAGTCTCCTGGTTTGTACTAGAACTTCCCCCAGAGAAGAGGGCTTTCACAAGCTCCCTAACCGGCTTTGACACACAGTGAAATTCATGAGTCACTGGAGTGCAGGGAGAGATCCTCTCAGAATCCCACTCAGCCCCATCCACCAGATCCAGCTAAAGTCCAATATCACCAGCTTATAAAATATTTCAGAGGAATTTTTATTCTAAATCCAGAAGCACAGGGTTTATCCCCCTGGCAACAACACATTGATTAGCAACCTACGAAAGACTCCTTTGTAACAGAAAGAGCTTGTCCGTCGACACAAGATTATTTGTTTATTTGCACTCAAAATTAAATCTTTTCTCTGTTAACTATTTTAACAAAAAAGGAATTTTTAACAAAAGGAATACAAACAAACTCAGACAATCTTTTGGTCCATTATTAAAATAGAGCCCTGTGGATTCACTTGAACTATTTGACTTTCCCACTTACTCCATCCCATCCTCTCCCTCCCCCTGATTTCCAAATATGAACACATTTGAGGATTATTATATTAAATCAGTTGATATAGCTTAAGTCTCAGCACTCCTTGAAAGCACAGACTCCTTTCAAGGCCCTATACTTACTTGTCCATTTTAAAAGTTTACATTCTTTTTCTTACTGAGTACCTCCCTCAAACAACAACAACACTACATAAGCTTTAGGCCCTGCAAAAGCTGTCCATGATCATAGCGACTGGCCGGCAACCATGGCATCAGAGGCTTTCCGCAAGTTACTTTTCTCTGTCCCCAAGACTGCTTGACAGATGCTAAATAAATACCTACATTTTATCATATTCATTAGCTTGATGACATTAGCCCAGAACACACTGGGAATCTAGACCTTAACTTTCTACCCCTTCACAATCTTATCCCTCCAAGACTCAAGTGATTTTCTTTTCTTAAATAATATTATCCTGGGCTAGCCAATGACTTAATGGTTAAGGGAGCCAGATCCCACATGGCTGACTACACTGTTCAAGTCTTAGAGCTAGCAGCTTGAGAAACTATTGGGCACATGTGCCAGAGAAATGGGGTATCCATTTATAAAGCAAAGGAAGCCAGAATAAAACAGTGTCTACTGGGAATCACAGGGAAGCTGTCATGTTAACCCATTGAACGATTCAGGTCTGCCCAGATTTCCCACAGAAATCATGGAGGGGGATTATTTTTCTGTTCCCTCCAGTTTAACTCATTCTGAGCAGATGCAAAGCCATCCTAGAAGAAGTAAGACCTAATCTTGTTTTCCTTGGCCCTAGTTAGATGGGGAGTTTCCAGGTTCAGAGAACCATTCAGGTCATTTTTCATTAAACAGATGAAATCACTCCTTCCCTCCCACCCTCACATGGACACACCCCTTGCGCCCCCCCCCCCCAGCTGATTAGGGAAGTGTCTTTGAGGAGGCAAGTCATTTCTACCTCCTCAGGCTGGTTTCACTACTGGGCCTGTGTCTCTGACAGTCCTAACAAGCATCCAACCTCTCTGGAACTGTGTCACACTGCCTGTTTCTTTATATCAGGTTCCTGGCTTGCATCCCATGCCAGGATCATGGCAACTAGGAAAATGGTTGTTATCAAATCGAGGCAACATTCGCACTGGGCCTCCTTTGCAAATTCTTTCAACAAACATTGATTGAGGGCCTGCCATCTGCGGAGAACTGTGCAAATTCCTCCTTACCCCTCCAGACAGATGTCAGATTCTGCCCCATTTGTAAGATAGCCTCCCTTCCACTGAGACCCAGCATGTCTCTTCCATTCTTACAAAATCTGTTTATTCGTTTTTTGCCTCTTGCCAACTCTCACAACACCCTTTTTAAAAGTCTCTGAGGTGTTCACTAATTCTCATCTACCTTATTCACCCTAATCCATTTATCTATTAAAATCAAGGAACACCCGCCTACTGTGACCACCCCCCTCTTCCCTACCAAGTTCATACTGTTGGCTAGACTGTTCTCTCCTCCAGAAATATTCTCTTTTCCTCAGCGTGTGACCTTTGGCAGACTTACTGAGAGCCGGAATGTTCTTTTCAGACACAAACTTGTTAGGTGATCGGTGACCTCTTGCCTTGTTTTCCAGTGCCTCAGTTTCCCCTTTTGCTGAGACTATAATTCATCCTACATGTATCATGGTGGCTATTAAAGCAGATTTTTAGCTAGGAACAGTGTGGGCACTGGCTCCCTCTGAGTCTCCTGGTTTGTACTAGAACTTCCCCCAGAGAAGAGGGCTTTCACAAGCTCCCTAACCGGCTTTGACACACAGTGAAATTCATGAGTCACTGGAGTGCAGGGAGAGATCCTCTCAGAATCCCACTCAGCCCCATCCACCAGATCCAGCTAAAGTCCAATATCACCAGCTTATAAAATATTTCAGAGGAATTTTTATTCTAAATCCAGAAGCACAGGGTTTATCCCCCTGGCAACAACACATTGATTAGCAACCTACGAAAGACTCCTTTGTAACAGAAAGAGCTTGTCCGTCGACACAAGATTATTTGTTTATTTGCACTCAAAATTAAATCTTTTCTCTGTTAACTATTTTAACAAAAAAGGAATTTTTAACAAAAGGAATACAAACAAACTCAGACAATCTTTTGGTCCATTATTAAAATAGAGCCCTGTGGATTCACTTGAACTATTTGACTTTCCCACTTACTCCATCCCATCCTCTCCCTCCCCCTGATTTCCAAATATGAACACATTTGAGGATTATTAT